GTCGTCGTCGTTGTCGTCGTCGCCGAAGTCGTTGGAGACTCGCCCGCAACGTCTACCGTTGTCGACGTTGCCATGGTACCGCGCCCGCCCAAGTCGCCGACTCGCAATGAAGTGCCCGCTGGTATGTGCCCAACGATCAGAGCCACCGCGGCCGCGTCGGTCGCGCCAGACCAGCTGGCCGCTGCGCGCGCGTGCTTGGGTTGGCGCGGCCGCAGAGACGCACCAGCCAACGCCGAGCATGCATCGCAATTGCCACCTTATGGGTTTTGCAAACCAAGTTGCGGGTGGGTGGGTGGGATGTTTGCAAGAGCACGGGATGTGTCAACTCGTTTGTCAAAATCAGTTGCACTGCATAGATTGCACCACCTAGATTGCAGTGGTAGGGCCGCGAATTGTGAGATCTCAGGGTTAACGCCCCCCTGCTCGCGCCCCTTGGCCAGCACCGATATTGCAATCATTGCACAGCCGAGATTGCACCACATACATTGCACAACCGATACTGCACAACATAGATTGTACAACATGTCCTGCGCAGCATAAACTGCTCAGCATGCCTTGCACAGCCTTGGCTGCAATGCATTGGTTGTTTAACCGATATTGCGCCACCACCTATGATGTACAACATGTATATGTATACATATATATACATCTATATATATATATATATAAATGTGGATGCATATGCACATGTATATAACCCTTTTCCTGATCAAACGATCCGGGAACGCCACCCCCCGGATGGGCGTCACCTAAGTCGCCCCCCTCACGATGAGCCCCGGACGGCCTCCAGGCAGCTCCGAAAATACCCGAAATTGCGGCCAAGCCAGTCCGACCGGCCACAGAGGGCTTCCGAGACGCCCACGGACCGTTCCAAGATGCTCCAGTTGGTCCCAAGACGGCCCAAGAGGCCTCCAAGACGCCCCAATTGGCCTCCAAGAGGCATCCCCAGAAGGCCCCCAGAGGCACAAATCATTGGTTCGTCTATGGTTGTTGAAGGTTTTTAAAGATCTCGCGAGCGCCTTTCCCGACGCTCCAAGACGGCCACAAGGGGGCCTCCAATATCGCTTCCAGACGGCCCAAAAGGCTCCCAAGACGGCCCCAAGACGGCCCAGGAAGGCCCAAAACGGTCCAAGACGTTTCCAAAACGGACCAAGACATCCTCAAGACGGCTCCAAGACATGCACCGAAGGGGGATCTGACCCGACGTTTCGGCCCTTCGGCCCCGAGGGGCCCCCAGGAGCCCGAAGCGACCCCCAGGAAGCTCCCAAGAAGCCCCAAGAGGCCCCCAAGAGGCCCCGAATAACCCCCCATGAGGCCCCAAGACGGCGCCCAACAGGCTTACAAACCATTCAAATCCACGGGTGCGCGGGAATTCTTCGCGCTGCCGCCCTATCTGCCGACAGGCGCACAAAACAAGCACGCGCAGCCCCTGATTTCACCCCACACGCAGCGTTGGGCCCAGCAGAGCGTTCAGCGCCATAGAAAATCTGCAGGCTTCAGTTCTACGTTGGTTTTCTGTGTTGCCTGACTTGAACACGCGGGTTTGGAAGCAATCTCGCGGTCGAGCACGCGGCGCGTTATCCAGCATAACGTAGAAGTACGTCGGCACCCATACGGGCGAATTCTTCGTGACGTTTGCTTTGGTTGTCCCTTACTTCGATTGCGCAATGTTGGAGGCCACCTTGCGTCGCTCGGAGGCCCCAAGAGGCACCCGACAAGGCTCTCAACGCCAGGGCCCCCGCAAACCCCATGACGTCAGGAGCTCTGAACGCCGAGGCTCCCAGTACTAGCGACCACGTACACACCTCTGACGTTCCAGGCTTCCGTTGATGTTCCGTAAGCTTTGGCTCCAGGGTTCTGCTGATGTTCCGCCTCGCCATACGCCGACTGGGACCATGCTGGACGATTTCCACCGGGTGGCTCTGCGCCCCTGGACACGCTCATTTCCTACGAAAGCACACACCCCACATCCACGACGGCCCCTCGACGCCGGCCAGCCCGCAGAGCGCCGGACGCCCCCAATTCCAGCCCTGGAAGGAAGAAACAGCCGTCGACATGAACTCAAAATTGATTCGGCCCGTTGGGTGGCTCGTCGATTCTGGACATGTTCACCCCTCATGGAAACCCACGCCCACGTTGGCCCCACGACCGCCAGCACGGCCACAAGCACAACCACCAGCGCGACCACCAGCACGACCGCCCACCAGCACCATCCCCAGCACGACCGCCACCATAACGAGCAGCACGGCCACCAGCACACCCGCTGGCACGATGTCCAACACGAACACCGGCACGACCACGAGCACGACCACCGACACAGTTGTCCTCCGTGATCGGTCCTGCAACAACAGCATCCCTCGAAGCCGTCAAGCTCGCGACACACATCATATCTACACCCCTGTACCCATGAAGTTCACAAGCGCACTACACTCTGTCGTCCACATAGCGCGGCGGGATACCAGATCTGCGTTCCTGCGCCAAGGATGACGATGAGGGACAAGATGTTGTGGCGAAGCGAAGCGAGCCAATATTATATACCAGTATACATATATATATAAAGTGTAGATAAACTGTGTATTGTATATATGTTGCAAATATACATACAAACATAAATACATACATGCATGCATGCATGCATGCATGCATACATACATACAAATGCACAAAATAGGATGCACCATATCAACTGCACCACATTGACTGCACCACATGGATCGCTAGAAAGACCATGTTTGGGGTCCACGCTGGCGAATATCTGATCAAAGCACTTGATCGTATGAGCATGCCATCACCGTGATGATCAAGCACGTACGAGAACCCATTGGGATTACACGTGGAAGCATGCCCGAAAATCTGCGCCCGTTGTTCCTCATCATCCGCACCCAGACCATCGTCAACATCAGCATAATCAGCATCATTATCATGAGCATCGTCATCATCAGGGTCATCATCATCATCATCAACATCACCACCACCATCACAACTGTCATCGTCATCCTCATCACCATCGTCAGCATCATCGACATCATGACCACGGCGGTTACCATCTCCACCATCGATGTCATCGCCCTCGCCAGATTGATGCGCGCTTTTCCACTTCCCCCTCAACAGCACGATCAGCATGACCGTCACCATCGTCTTCATCATAACCACCATCGTCAGCATCATCATCACCACCACCGCCATCATGATCATCATCATCATCATCAGCATCATCATCGTCATCACCATCATCACCACCACCGTCATCATCGCACACCATCATCATAATCGTCATCGTCGATCTCGTCGCCCTCGTCAAATTTCTGCGCACGCGCATTTCCTCTTCGTGCTCACCCGCATGAGCATGATCATGATCATAGCCAGCGTCACCAATACCACCATCACCATCACCATCAGCTGCATCACCACCACCATCGCCGGCGTCGACATCATCTCCACTGCCGCCATGAACATTATCATCGTCGTCATCGTCGCTACCGTCACCCAGTTGCGTTGTGCGAACAAGTTGCAGGTGGATTGGCGGCACGCTTGTTTGCACGAGAATTGGATGTGGTCACGCGCGGACGCACATCGATCACCCAAGAAGCCTACTGTTCGGGGGCCACTCGGGAAAGCATGTGAAACCTTCCCGAAGCCTTGGGAAAACCTTCGGGCAATCTTCGGAAACGTCCTAAAGCAGATGAATGCAGCCACCCTCCTCCTCCTCTTCCTCCTCCTCCTCCTCGCCCTCCTCCTCCTCCTCCTCCTCTTCCTCCTCCGCCTCCTCCTCATCCTTCCCCTCTTCCTCGAGCGGTGAGCGCAATCTGTGGCGCGCCGACGCCGACTGACCCCCTCCATCACATCCACGACCCGGTAGTGTTCCTCCACGCCCTCCTCCTCCTCCTCCTCCTCCTCCTCCTCTTCCTCCTCCTCCTCCTCCTGTCTCCTCCTCCTCCTCCTATCGCCTCCTCCTCCAAAAACCAAGATAACCAAAAATACACCATGTTTCCTTGCATGCTAAACCAAAAAGACCAGAAAAAATGCACAGCGTTTCCTTGCACCGAGGGCGCCAAACACTGCGTATGTTTGGTTTTATGGCCTTGCAACAAGGAGGAGGAAAGAAAAGGAGGAGGTGCTGGGAGGAGGCCGCGGGGAGCACTTGAGCTTCCAAAGCCAAAAAAAAATGAAGCATGTTTCCTTGCATCCAAAACCAAAAAAATGAGAAAGAAAAACAACAAAAAAAGTGTTGCCTTGCACCGAGGGTGCCAAACACTGTGTATGTTTGGTTCTCTGGCTTTGCAACAAGGAGGAGAAAAGGAAGGGAGGTGCTGGGAGGAGGCCGCGGGGAGCACTTGAGTTTCAAAACCAAAGAATTCAAAATAACCAAAAATACACCATGTTTCCTTGCACCGAAACCATAAAAACCAGAGAACAAAAACAAAAATACACAGCGTTTCCTTGCATCGAGGGTGCCAAACACTGTGTATGTTTGATTTTCTTGCTTTGCAAGGAGGAGGAAAGGAAAGGAGGAGGTGCTGGGAGGAGGCCGCGGGGAGCACTTTTGCTTCCAAAACTAAAAACAAAAAATTAGAAAAGTGTTCCCTTGCATCCTAGACAAAAAAACTTGAGAGAGAAAAAAAAAAAGGCGTTTCCTGGCATCGAGGGCGCCAAACACTGTGTATTATTGTTGTGTTGCTACAAAGAGGAGGAAACGGAAAGGAGAATGAGGAGGAGGAGGATGGGCGAGGAGGAGGAGGAGGAGGAATTGTGTTTGAAGACGGGGGAGGACGGAAGAAGAGAAGGGAAGGATGAATAAGAAGATGATGAACGTGAATACGATTCAAGATAAAATGTATGATCTTGGAAGGCAACCATAAAAATATATATGTATATATGAGTATATGTGCTTCCTATTCATTGGTATAATACATTTTTATATATATACATATATATGAACTTATTTGTATAGCTATCTATGTATTACCCGGGGCACGGGGTTAGATGCCGCGAGGGGGCGCCTGGAGCTCGCGCAGCTGCACATCCAGCGCCACCTCGCGCTCGCGCCTGGGGGCCCCAGCCGGGGCGGCCCAGCGCCGTGCGGACCAGATGACCATCGAGGACGAGGACGAGGCCGACGACGACGACGACGACGGCGACGACAAAGGAGAGGGAGGCCCCAGACCCCCAGCGATACGAAAGGATCGAAGAGGCCAGGGTTCCCCAATGTGGATATCTGGACGCCCGTTTTGAGCTTCCGGGACCATGAAAAAATACCCTGGGCAAAGAACTGTCCATGGGAAGGGGTCGAGAGGCCCAGGTACAAAACAAAATTAGATGGACGTCTGGTCAGGATGCTGACGCTCGGGGAACAGGATGTGGACGGCGTGTCGCGCAGACTCGCGGTGCCCTGAGATCCCACAATGCGGAAAAAATGGAAACATCATGAAAAATCACAACCCAAGCCCCAGGCCCCATGTTTCTGCGCCGTTTCCCGCGCTGGATCGATACACGGGGGTCCCAGGGCCCGAAACCGGGCGAAAACACCCAGCTCGAAAAACCGAGAAAACCGATCTCACGATTACCAGAACCAGCGGCGCGGCACGCTCGGCCAAAGTTCCCGACCGTAACATTGCCCCCCACCCCGGCCAACGTTCCGCCTCAGCCGAAGGAAGGAGGAATAGGAGAAGGAGGAGGAGAAGGAGGAGAAGGAGGGAGAGGAGGAGGAGGAGGAGGAGGAGATAGGAGGAGGAGGAGGAGGAGGAGGAGGAGGAGGAGGAGAGGAGGAGGAGGAGGAGGAGGAGGAGGAGGGGGAGGAGATAGGAGGAGGAGGAGGAGGAGGAGGAGGAGGAGGGAGGAACGACGACGACAACGACGACGACGATAAAGATGATGATGATGATGATGATGATGATGATGGTGGTTGATGATGATGATGATAATGATGATGATGATGATGCTGATGATGATGGTGATGCTAATGATGATGATGATGATGATGATGATGATGATGATGATGATGATGATGATGATGATGATGATGATGATGATGATGATGGTGATGTTTGTGATGACGATGATGATGATGACGATGGTGATGATGGCAATAATGATGATGATGATGATGATGATGATGATGATGATGATGATGATGATGATGCTGATGGTGATACTGATGATGATGACGATGATGATGATGATGATGCAGCTCATGATGGTGATGATGATGAGAGCAATGATGATGATGATGATGATGATGATGATGATGATGATGATGATGATGATGATGATGATGATGATGATGATGATGATGATGATGATGATGATGATGGCAATGATGATGATGAGGGGGGGGAGGAGAAAGAGGAGGAGGACAAGATAGGAGGAGGTGGAGGAGGAAAACTCTATTAAATTATATCCTCTGGCGTGTGTACCTGCTGCTGGGCGGGGCACGCTGCGACTATCAAATCAGACCTCGGAGAATTGGCTACACGATTTGGGCGGGAGGCCACGGGACACCCGAGACAGGACCTAAGGAGGTAGGAGGGGGAGGAGGAGGAGGAGGAGCAGGAGGAGGAGGAGGAGGAGCTCGAGGAGGAGGAGGAGGAGGAGGAGAAGGGAGAGGAGGAAGAGGAGGTAGTAGGAGGAGGAGGACAAGGATGAGGAGGAGGAGGACGAGGTAGGAGGAGGAGGAGGAGGAGGAGGAGGAAAGGAGGAGGAGAAGAAGGAGAAGGAGAAGGAAGAGGAGGAAGAGGAGGCAGGAGGAGGTGGTGGTGAACGCCATATGATCCATCAGGTAACGCACTCAGAGCTTAAAGATCGGCGGGCGGGCGAATGCGTATAAACACTGCAAAAAGTGTCTAGGCCTAGGCACACACATGGCCCCAAATAGGGACACCATGGGGGATCATGCGCTGGTTCGCGAACGCAACACACTCGGCAGAGAGAAAGAGAGAGAAAGAAAGAGAGAGAGAGAGAGAGAAAAAAAAAAAAAAAAGGACATAGAGAGAGACAGAGACGGGGACCCCCGGGAGCGAGCCCAAAAGCAGGGGGGGGAAATTCCATACAAAACGACCGTTTTTTACGGAATTTCCCCCTCCCCCGCTTTGGCTCCCACCCACGGGGGAGGGGGGGAGGGAAAAGGGGAACACACAACAGAGTCAAAATCTAGCTCCGGCGAGGGCGACCCCGTCCCTTGCCCTTGCCTGGGCCGCGGCCTCTAGGGTACCAGTCGCCCCGGTATCGAACCACATCGCGTTCCGACACCGTTACGTGGAACACTCTGGCATTGTTGAATTGCTCGAGCAGTGAGGGTCGCGCCTGGTCCACGCCAGGCCCGGGAGCAGGGACAGTAGCGCTACGTCGTTCATTCGCCACGTGGACTGGCGCAGCTGGGAGCGAAGAGGAGGGCAGGAGATGGGGCCTCACTCGAACTAGCAATTCGTGGTCAGGCCCCCAGGCATCGCGACCACGAGATCGAGATCGGCGTGCCACTACTTCTTCCTGCCCTTGCCATTCAGCATCTTCTCCAGGGAATTCTGCACGCGCCGCTCCTGGGGCCCCCGAGGAGGAGGCCCTATTTTGGGCACGCTGCCCAATGTGTGGTAGAACTTGGTGAATACCGCGTTGATCGGGTAGGGCATTCCCGTGAGCATGAGCCAGCCCTGGATGAAGAAAGTGTGCTTGGTCATCTCCGTGGCCCTCTCCTTGCGGAAGGCGTCCTTCACGCGGTAGTACTTGATGAACTCGGCTGCCATGTGAACGTCGAGCTGCTTTACGTGCTGGATGAAGGCATTCATGCCCGTCAGCGCCTCGGCGTGCGCCGCCACCGACGTCAGCTGAGGCAGCGCCATCAGAGCCTCCAGAACGGCCAGGCCCACAGTAAGGCTCGGGGGGCCGTACGGGTGATCGCTCTTGCCCTCCACCTTCTCGGCATATAGGCGTCTGGCTGCGATGGCCGTGTGGTTGAGCCTGTGGTCCTTCACGATCAGGTGACAACTGAGGAGGCACCCCTCCAAGCCGCGCACGCGCTGCGTCGTGTTGAGCTACCCCTTCATCAGCTCCTCCGCGGTGTCGTCGTCGGTCCTCGTCGTCCATCGCCAGGTCCATGGCAGGAGGAGGAGAAAGAGGAGGAGGAGGAGGAGGAGGAGGACGACGAGGACGACGACGACGACGACGAGGTAGTAGGAGGAAGAGGAGGTAGGAGGAGGAACCTCGAACCCCAAGGCTGCCACTGGGGAGCTGGCCGCGGGGAGGCGGGCCGGCGGCCGCGGGAGGCGGGGGCGGCGCTCGCCCGGCGGCGAGCTCGCCCTCGGCCGCCTCGCGGCCCCGCACGGCGCGGCCCTGCGCGGCCGGCGGGGCGGGCGGGCCAGCCGGCGGCACGAGAGGGCGCGGGCGAGGGCGAGGGGCCCACACAGTGGTGGCCTCCTGGGTGGGGTCGGAGGCCTCCGGGGCTGGGACGAGGGAAGAGCTGCGTCAACCCGAGCGGACCCTCCTGCCTGGGGGGGGCATCGGAGACGCATCGGCGGTGCATCGGCGACGCCAGCGCGGAGAAAATCGAGCTCCAGATCGAGCCGCATCGGTGATGGATCGGCGATGCGGCGCGATCCTCCGACCCCATCTGCTCGGACCCCATCTAGGAGGCCTAGACACCTATGGACCAGAAAATACACGACCCCACCCCACCTCCTGCGGCCTCGCGGGCCTTCGCGTATACCAACAAATCTGGCGTGGGCTTTTGCGAGGAAGACGGCCCCCGATGGGCCGTGATTAGCGCAACATGGAGGGCCGCATGTGGGGTGGTGTCGTTGGTTTTGTCGGTCGAACACGAGGGAGCCAGGAGTTGGGAATCGGGCCCCTCCGAGCCCCGTGGTCGCCACGCCCTCCCCCCGCCCTCGCGCCGCCCAGCCCCGCGAGCCGCGCGGCGCGCGGCGCGACCACCCCCAGAGCTCCCGCGACCCCCCCCCCCCCCCTGAGGAACACTCGCCATCGCTCGGACGTCCAGTCCCCATGCGATTTTTCGATTTCGTGCCCGGGGCCGCGAAGCGACGGGCGCGGCGACCCTCCGCGCCCCTGCGGGCGACCTCGACGCCTCCCCAGACATCCAGCGTCTCGAATAACGTCGAGACGGGTTTTTGTTCATCGTGCTCGGCCTCTCGGAGCCCTTGCCGGGGCCTCGGGACCGTCAAAAAACTACTCGGGAGGAAAAACCAGTCCTGGGGAAGCGGCCGAGAGTTTGGGCGCCCATGTCTCGAAAAGATCGAGGCGCCGGATGTCTGGGGTGGCTGGTGCGGGCGAGAATGACGGCGACGGCGACGGTGACCCAGATCTCCCGCATGAGTGCGCCCTCGCGCCTAATTAGCCCCCTCCCGCGGCCGCCCCACCCTCTCCTTCCCCCCGCTTGCATGCGGGCCAATTTGCGACTCCGCGCCCCAGTGTCGCTCGGACGCGCGTGCGGAGTGCCTCTGCCGCGCCGCGAAGAGAACACGTTTTCGGTCCCGTCGCGTGTTCTCTCGGTGTCGGCCTCCCGGGCCCGTCATCGGGCCCCCGGGCCAGCAGAACTGGATACGGGGCGAAGAGAGCTGGCCCCCTGGGGAGGGTGGTCGGGACCTCCGAGGCCGCGCATGGACGAACCCAGATCGGCGGATGGCAGGGGTGACCGCGACGGCGCCGGCGATGGGCGAGCGCCATCGGTGAAGGTGAGGGCGAAGGCCGGGTGTCCAGCGGGGACGCCACGGGCTGCCTCGCTCACTCCCGCCCGCCCTCCCGCGGCACAAGCACCCCAAGGGCACCGACAGGCACCCGCGAGAGCCGAGACAGACGCCAGGTGCGCCACGTGTGCCAGGTGCGCCACGTGTGCCAGGTGCGCCACGTGTGCCAGGTGCGCCACGTGTGCCAGGTGCGCCACGTGTGCCAGGCGCCCAAGGAGCGCGTCATGCGTGGTGCGCCAAGAGCGCCATGTGCAGGTAGTTGTGGCGAGGCAGCGCGCCGAGGAGAACACGGTCCCACCCCACCACCCAAGTCAAAGGGCAGATGAGAACGACGATAGGGGCCCACACAGGGCCTGATGTTTGCCGACGTGTGCTCTTCACACTGCTCTTGCTGGCTTGGCGGCGGGTCTCCGATGAGCGACGAACGCGGCGACACGGACAGCGAGTCCCGTGCAAGATGGGCAGGACATGCTACTAGTGCTCGCCCCCGCTCTTTCCGCCACGATCTCGGCCCTGCAAAAGAAAGCCACGCGAGCGACGAAAATAAACGGGTCTTACGCGAGACGGCATGGCGACCTCACGCCGCGGCTCACGCGGGCCGCCAGCAGGGCATTCCGAACTGGCAGCGAGGGCGCTCACGCGCGACCTCACGCGGGCAGCCTGCGCGCCAATGCCAGTGCAGACTGCCCCTCTCCTCCTCCTCCTCCTCCTCCTCCTCCTCCTCCTCCTCCTCCTCCTCCTCCTCCTCCTCCTCCTCCTCCTCCCCCTCCTCCTCCCCCTCCTCCCCCTCCTCCCCCTCCTCCTTTTCTGCGTCGCTCAAGCGCTGTCTTGCTCAGCCCACCATCCTCGCACTGTCTCGGGCGCACTGTCACATGGATTAGGCATCCGTGGATCTGATGCGCGGTCCCCAGATCCATGGATCGGGAAGGTGCCCCCGAGAAGTGACGCCTGTGCCGCCCGATTTGGTGACGGAGCGCGCCGACTCCATGCATGGAAACGGGACCCGTCGTGAATCAACGCGCCCTGACCCGTGCCTGCGTCTCTTCGACCGTTTCTGTTGCGCCGCGGCCGCGCGCAGAGCGACGCGGGGGAGTCCAACACGGCCAGCGAGTGCACCAAGCTGAGAGCGCACCCCACGCTGGCCTCCCGAGAAGCCCCGGCGAGGAAGCCCAGGGGCCGGCCGTGGAGAGCCACGGCATGCGAGGGGCGTCCACGAGGGGGGCACGACCCAGGCATGCGACGTCCTGCGTTTGTTTCGACACGGGGTCCCCCGCAAGAGTCCCGACCCCTTCCCTGGGGGCCCGTGTCTCATCCCGAACCGAGTGGACGACGGCCCCGGGGGCCCGGCGAGGGGGCCCCCAGGAGCCGAAGTCGGCCAAAAACCTGCCACAGTGGTTTCGTGTACGACGCGGGAATATCTGGGGAAGCACTTTTCTAAGCTGGCGGCGCAGAGGATCCTCAGGCGCGAGCAGCAGATGGAAGTGCGACTTGCAATCTGACATTGTCGAAGGCACAGCGTGCAGAACGTGATGTCTTGGGAAGCACCCCCAACACCCCGACACCAGGCAACGGCGACGATCGGCAGCCAATGAAGGACGGGGAGGGCCTCGGCCTGGCACTCCAGAGGCGACAAGGCCCCGACGGGGGGGGGGGGGGGGGGGCGACGGCGGGCAGCCACCAGGAGCGAATCCGCGGACCTGCGGGCCGCTCGACGGCTCCTGACGACAGGGAGGAGGAGGAGGAGGAGGAGGAGGAGAGGAGGAGGAGGAGGAGGAGGAGGAGGAGGAGGAGGAGGAGGGAGGAGGAGGAGGGAGGAGGAGGGAGGAGGAGGAGGGGGAGGAGGAATGGAATGGAATGGAATGGACACTGAAGGGGGGCAAGACAACACAAGCCTGCATGGGCGTGCCACGGGACACAGCCCAACCCTCCCGAGGATCCACGGGCATAACCACGCCAACCTGTACTCTCTACCAGGGGGTTTACCATTCCAGCGGCTACTGACGCAGCGCGCGCCCGCCTGCACGGCGGCGGGGCGGAGGTGGGAGGGGGAGGAGGAGGAGGTGGAGGAGGAGGAGGAGGAGAAGGAGGAGGAGGAGGAGAAGGAGGAGAAGGAGGAAGAGGAGGAGGGGGAGGAGGAAGAGGAGGAGGGGGAGGAGAAGGAGGAGGAGGAGGAGGAGGAGGAGGGCGAGGAGGAGGAGGAGGAGGAGGAGGAGGAAGAGGAGGAGGGGAAGGAAGAGTAGTAGGAGGAGGAGGAGGAGGAGGAGGAGGAGGGCAGCACGCTCCCTTTGAGTCGCCGATGCCCTTCCCGAGGGTCGCGAGCCCCTCTTTCAGCCATCATCATCATCATCATCATCATCATCATCATCATCAGCAGCAGCAGCAGCAGCATCATCATCAGCATCATCATCAGCATCATCATCAGCAGCATGCCAACCATCACAATCACCACCATCAGCTTCAACACTAGCAGCATCCGCACGAGCATCACCACCACTATCACTATCCCACTCCTCCTGCCGCGGACTCCTCCTCCCTCCGGCGACGACGGCGGCAGACAGCGGACGACCGACGACGGACGACCTCCGACGACGGCGGCGACCACCACCACCACCACCACGTTGACGACGACGACGACGACGACGACGACGACGACGACGACGACGACGACGACCGCAGGCGGCGGGCGGCGGGGGAGCGGCAGGGCGGGCTCCAGGCTCGCCAGCGCGGCGTCGAGCTCCTCCGCGCGGATCAGGGGGGCCGGCCGCGCCGCGCGCCCTGCTCCGCATCCTCCCCCTCCTCCTCCTCCTCCTCCTCCTCCTCCTCCTCCTCCTCCTCCTCCTCCTCCTCCTCTTCCTCCTCCTCGTCCTTCTCATCATCATTATCATCATCCTCATCCGCATCCTCATCCTCAATCTCATCCTCATCCTCATCCTCATCCTTCTCCTCCCCCCCCGCCTGCAGAGGGAGGGAGGGAAGGAGGGAGGACGAGGCGGAGGAGAAAGGAGGAGAACGAGGGGGAGAACGAGGGGGAGGAGGAGGGGGACGAGGGCGAGGAGGAAGGGGAGAAGGGGAAGGAGGAGGAGGAGGAGGACAAGGAGGGCGAGGACGAGGAGGCCCAGGAGGACGAGGAGGGCGAGGGGGAGGATGAGGGCCAGAGTAAGCCCAGGATGCATCAACGATGCTGCAGCACACCCTCCCGCCCCAAGTCCCCTCCTCATAAGTCCCTACAAGGCCCCCTTTCCGCTGAGAGAGTCGCCTCCCTTGAATGACGAACGCCTGGTGGGCCTGCCACTCCGGTCAGACCCTGTGTGTGAAGGACCCGCCCACCATCCTGCTGGCTCAAAGATTGCCCCGTCAGAAAGCCCTCATGGGCAGCCTTGGTCTCCCACGGAGGCCCGTTCCGGCCATCTTGGGGCTCTCTTGGGGCCGTCCCGGGCCATTTGGGGACTCTCTTGGGACCCTCTCCGAGCCCTTCTGGGTGCTCTTTGGCTCCACTGAAGCCCTCTAGGAGCCACAACTACTTGAGAAGCGCGAAGTCCACGTAGGTTCAGTTTTTCGTCGAGACGGCTGGGTCGCTTCGGATATTATTTCGTAGAGTCTCTGCTGCTTAACCGTCGCGATGCTTCCCACCTACCAAGAAGAAGCCCGAGCGCCGCATCACAATCACCACGGGGCGGTGCAGTGCATCTCAACCACCTTGCAGTCTTGGCATATGTCGTTACACACGTTCTCAGGGTCGGGGTAGTCGTATTCATCTGCAGTGAAGCAAGTGCGGCATTGACTCTGCAAGTCTGCGCACGTCCACCTTCGCCCTGTTGCGTTTGTCGTCTGCAAGAGGCTCCCTTTGCACTGCGGGCTATGCTGTATGCAATAATCGCCGGAACCATAACCTGCACAAAATGAACGTTCAACTTGCTTGCACTGTCCGTAAATAGCCGCGCAACTCCTAGTGGACGCCTTCCGAAACCCATCTGCCAAAGCGGTCAGCGAGATCCATGTCACTATCCTAACCATCGCAGCACGCTACGTTCGATCGCGGGTCAAAGTTGAAAGGCTGCTTGAGCCAACAAGGCTACGAAAGACTGTTGTTACACATGTGTGGGCGAGCCTAGCACCTGACCAACACCGGGGGGGGCACATATCGGTCGCCGCAGGAAAGACTTCGCGCTGGTAGATACTGGGGAACGCACATCGGGGGGGCACATCGAGAAAGCATCGGGGTAACATCGCGCTCGTCGCTCGTCCTCACTCATCCCCTCCTCTCAGTCCCAGCACTACTACGCCGTAGCCTCCTCCTCCTCCTTTTTCTCCTCCTCCGCCTCCCCCTCCTCGTCGTCCTCCCCCTCATCATCATCCTCCTTTTTCTCCTCCTCCTCCTCCTCCTCTTCCTCCTCCTGTTCCTCCTCCTCCTCCTCTTTCTTACTCCTCCTCCGCCTCTCGACTGACGTGATCAATCGAGTGCGGCACTCGCCTTGCTGTGGGCTTGTACATGCTTTGGTGGATATCGGTTCCGTTCCTCCTCCTTTTCCTCGGCCTCCTCCTCCTCTTCCTCCTCCTTCCCCTCCTCAGCCGACGACGCCTACGCTTTCCTCCTTCTCCTGCTACTCCTCCCGTCCAGTCCACCCTTTTCCCACCCTTCCATTATTCCTCCACTTCCCCTCCTCCTCCCCTCACTGTTTCCTCGTCCCGTCCTCCCTCCCCGCCCCCGTTCACCAAACTTCTCCTCCCTTTTGCCAGCGCGCCCGACCACTCCCTCCCCAGTACCCGTCGCTTGCTCACCAACTCCTCCTCCCTCCCAGGAAACGAAAAGGAGGGGAGGAGGAGAAGGCGGCCGCATTTTCGAGGAGTGAAGCAGAGGGGAGGCGGTGGCAGCAACGTCGCTCGACACTTCACGACATAGGCGCTTTCAAAAGGCAGAGGAAGGCGCAAACACCGTCGATGTTGAATGATCACCTCTCCACTGTTGCATCTTCGCATGTATTGAATTGGTGGTTCCTCCCATACGATCGTACATGTAGGGTCCCCTCATACGGCCCCTGTTAAACCGCGCCCCCACCGCCACAGGATACCCCTGGCGCACCGCAACCCACGTGGCTGTTTGGCTGGTTGGAAGTTCAGCAAGCCAACGGGTACATAATAGCAGCTGCCCAGGGGGGCTTGTCTGAGCGGTGGCAGAACCTATACACCTTCAGCCTCGATTGGCGCCCCAAGGGGCGCCAGTCGAAGGAGTAATCTGCGCATCTCCTTCCAACCATTGCAAATCAGAAAGCTTGCACATCATGAAGATCAGGGCCCTGCCCTTGCACCCAGTGTTGCCCATGATCCTGGGGGGACTTTCTACGGCTGGCCGATCGGCACAGCCGCCCTCTCGAACCAAAGGTTCATGATCGACCACGACACGAGCCCGGCGTTCCGTGGGCACTCCTTGACGGCACTCTTCGAACATTGCCACCTTCGCCTTCGGCAGGTCCACCAAAAGGGAAGTTCGACTTCCCAGGCGCGTCGAGCACAAACACATCGAATATTGCACGCAGGGGTTTCAGGAAGAACGACTTCCCCCTTCCGCCCAGACTGCCCCCAAGCAAGATCACGGGCGTGGTCTCTGACCTGCCGCGGGTCAGTGCTGCTGGCGCGTCGCGGCACAGCTCGGCGACTGGGGCGCTGTTCTGGATGAGGCATCGCACCACGAACGCCAGAAAAGCACCCCCGCACGCGCACTGGCTCTGCCGGGCCGCAGACAAAACGCTAAGCCGACTGCGGCGCGCAACGGACACGTACTCGTCGATGTCCTCCGTCATCCAGACGTCGTCGATCATGCGTGGATGAACCGTGCACTCGATCAGACAGTGCACCATGGCCTCGCCGCAGTGTTCCTGGGCACACGCGACGAGCTGCAAGTGCGCCGTTTGGGCGTCGTCCCCGTTGCGGACGCCTGCTCGGACGACGAAGGCCCAGACGTCGAGGTCGTCGACCGCGGGCCCCGCCCCCCCGTTCTTGGCGGTTTCAGAAGCAAGCTTCTGCATCTTGGCCGCCAAGGCGGTCGTCGTCATTGGCGCGTCGGCGCTGTCCACTACGCGCGGGCGGCCCACCTCGCGAGCCCACGGCAAGGGCTTCTGGTCGAGACCCGACCCTGGCTTCTTCGGGGGCCCCACGGCGAAGCTCCGAGCGCTGCCCCAGTGCCCGTCGCGAATGCAAGACCAATGGCTTGCCCGCCGTCGCCCTGCAGCAAGGCCTTCTGGCCGGGAGCGAAGCGGGCGAAGCGTAAGCTGGCCTCTGCCACGACTGCGACTCGGTCGCGCACTGCCCGCTCCTGCGCCGCGCCTGGCTTGCGGCGCTCTCTCCACTGCCCCACCTGCTCCAACACCATCGGGCCGCGCGCCCTGCCGCGCGCGCGTAGGTCGGGCGAGCGAACTCGTCGAAGACGCAGGCGAGCACCTCTTCCTTGGTCTTGAAATCCGGCGCAATCAGCGCCTGCCCTCGCTGCTCACCGCGCCTGGCGCCAGGCGCGGCAGCGCCGCCAGGTGGGCCCGGCGCTCAGCGATCGCAAGAGCTTCGCCGACATCGCCTGGGTCGATCGGCTCGCAGAGCGAGCCCTGGCCCCCGAAGCCCGCCGGCGCCTTGCTCCGCGGGCGGCGCCCCAGGGCCACGGCCGGCGCGAGCGCCGCGCCCCGCGCTTTCTCGTCAGCCCGCTCGCTTGCTTGAGCCTGCGCAGCTGCGTAAATGGCGCGGCGGCGACGGGCGAGGCAGCGCCGCAAACTCGCGCGCCCCGACCCCCCCCCCCAGATTGTCAGAAGCGCCGGCATGGCGCCGTGCCCGCGCAGTGCCCGCGCAGCGCCCGCAAGAGCGCCCGTTGTGAGGGAGGGGGGAAATGCCCGCTCCTTCAAGTTATTTCCAAAGTACGATGGCAAGTCTGCATGATCCTTGAATCCTACTGAATGGGCGGGCACCGCTTGTTTTCACAACGGGTACTGCCACGGGCAATGGAGGTGAACTGCGCGGGCACTGCACAGGCACTGCTTTTTGGCTGGCACGCGCACCAGCGGCGCTGGCGCTGCGCCGCGGCAACGCAGACAGAGAGATGGCGATAGATGGCTTACAGGGAGCGGCTCAAAACTCCCGCCCGTCGGACGGTCAGGCGGCACGCCGCGGGAACGGCGCGCAAACCGACGAGGGCCGCGCGTGCGCGCGAGGCCAGCGGGCGCACCGCGCCCTCCATGGAGCGATTTCCACGCCTCACTCGCGGAAGAGCTGGCCCTTGCGCTCGAACAGCCGGCCGCGGCGACGGGCCATGTCGCCCACGCACTTCGCAACGCAGCACCAGGGAAGGCCGAGCGCCGTCTTGCAGAGACGCTGCTTTTACTCGTCGGCTCTCTCCTTGTTGTTGAACGGCCGCGACGCCTCCCGCTCCCCCACGCGAAGGTTGACGGCGCGCCAAACGGCGTGGTTTATTTCCGCCGACGCCGACGCTAGCATCATCGATGACCATAGCCGCCGCGAGTTCGATGCCTTTCGGGTGCTTCTGCTTCTGAAGCGTCTTCATAGACTGCAAGAGGGCCGTCATGTACACGTCGCTCAGCTTGCGGGGGCGCCCCTGTGTAATGTACTTAGTCACTGCCACGGGCTGCTTGAAGATTCTGCGAATTGCATCATTGCTGCGGCCAGTAACATTCGCAATGGCGCCCCCAGGTTTTCTCGCATCATGTTCTTCACAACGCGCCAACGCGCTGGAAGCCCTTCCCCATGTGTGAAAGGCCGGGGCGATAAAGAAAGCAAAGACCCACGGGGTTATGTGCCCGCGCAGAGGACGCGCCAAAGCACGAACAAAGGCGGCAACGTAGCTCGAGAGCAGCATACGCATAATCATCTTACACGTCAAACCATTCCGCGCAGCGCGTCATTGTACGACGGCTGTATGCGGAACCAATCATTTCCACTATAGATAGTAAACAAAAACGAGCCAGCACACAAGCTAGGTTCGTCTAAAGCTCGTAGCACACGGGATCTGAAATCCGAATTGCGGATCCCCTGCGCGGTTCTCCGCCGCAGACCGCAGTCGACAGATGCAAGGGGCGGGCTCGCAAGGGAGATCAAACCTAGGACGCCCCATTCTGGTTACCTCGTCGGCGAAACCCCTGGCGGTTGGATGCCTCATCGGTTGTTTTGACTGCTGCCTGGTTGGCTGCCTTGTCGGCTGCCTCGTTGGATGCCTGATAAGCTGCCTCGTCGGCTGCCTTCTCGGTTAATTACCCAATGAATCGACTCATCGGTTGCCTGCGTGGTTGCTTTGGTGGCTGCCTCGTCGATTGCCTGGTTGCCTGGATGGCTGCCTTGTCGGCTGCCCGCCTCGTCGTTTATCTGGTCGGTCGCCATGTTGGCAGCCGCGTTGGCTGCCTCGCGGGCTGCCTCTTCGGCTACCTCTTCGGCTGCCTCGCTAGCTGCCTCGTGGAGTGCCTCATTTGCTGCCTCGTCTGCTGCCTCGTCGACTGCCTCGTTGGCTGACTCGTTGGCTGCCTCGAAGGACCGCCTCGTCGGCTGCCTCGTTGGCTGGGGGGCGAGGGCCGGGGCCTCTGGGGGCGGGCGCGGCCAGTGGTTCAACGCGAGGTCGACTCCAAGCGCGCCACGGTACACAGGGCAGAAGAGTCTTTCCTCTGAGAATCGGGGTAAGATGACAAAGGAACTAGGATCTCGCGTTCACTCTGTTCAGGGAGAGAGGGGGCGGGATGAGACATTGATAAGACAAGTATCCGTTAAGCAAGACTACTCCATCAGGAATGCGAAGGGAGGAGGCCGGCTGGCCTACGACCGACGACGCACGACGGCCGAGGGCTGGCGCGCTCCTTTTCTCTTCTGCAAGCCAAGGTTGGCTTGTTCGAGCAATCATACAGCTGCGGAACGCAGCTGTTAGTTCCAGCGGACAGTGCAATGCATGCAAACTAAGTTATGTTTTAATTTAATATGAGGAAGAGAGGAGCTTATTCACTCCCCCCGCGGCGGGCCGCGTAGAGCCCATCCAGCCACAGCACCTTCGGCCTGTACATGTGCACAACCACCGGAGCCAACCCGAAAAAGCTTTTACAGCTCAACGGCGGCTGCCAGGGGGCCAGGGGCCGAAGAGGCTCGACGTTCCCCACCATTATGATAAATAAATTCTCTCCGCTGGACCGGCTTTGCCGACCAGCAGAGGTGTCCGCATCCAACACGCGTTACGCGCGTGGATAAAATTGTCTTGCATGCGCCTGCCGCGACTGAGTCACGCGGGCGAAACTCAGTTCAGGTCCTGCCACGGGTTGGGCTCGTCCTCTTCTCTGAGCGGCGCCGGAGGCGGCGGATTTGACGACGCCGATCCTCCCGTCTGCACCTCCACGCCACGAAGCGTGCGGGACCGCCCTCTTCCTTTTTCAGTGTCGCTCTTCGATGCTGTCCCTTTTGGCGGGAAGCGTAAGCCGTGCTCCCATGTTGATAGCACGCGTCGCGTGCCAGTAACTCAGAGTGCACCACTCGACGTCGGGAAGCCACGTGAGCCTGCTCCGATGGGCGCAGTACCCGGCGTGGGTTCCGTTCACGTAGCGCGGGTAGGACTTGGACGGGTCGTACTCGTAGCTGTTGTCCGCAGCACTGCCGGCAGCATCCGTGGCCGCGCCGGCGGCAGCATCCATGGCAGCGCCGGGGGCAGCATCCATGGCCCCATCGCGCGCGCGTCGTGAATCCGACCGATCCCTCATGTTGGGATGTTGAGGGTATGTCTCCCTAGTCGTCACGGCTGAGCCAGCGACTGAACGCGGGGATTCGGTGGCTTCGTCGGGTACCCGAGCGTCTGAGACGCCAGGTCTAAGAGGCGGAGGGCGCGATAAAGGTCTAGCCTTCGGTCCAGCCGGCGCCCGTGGCCCCACGATCTCGGCATCGCCGTCGTGGTCTGGATTGTTGTTCCTACGATCGTTCATGAATTGCATTATACTCCTGGCAGCAGTCGCTGCGGCGACACCATATTTTCCGCACGCGGTACGGAAGGGTCCATAATCTTTGTCCTGGAGTTCAGCACCAGGGTCAGGATATTTATCCTGGAGCCAAGAAATGGCTTCCTGTATAAGAGCACCGTGGCAACGGACATGATTCTGCACTTTCCTGCCCATCTTGTGGGCCCACTTCTCTATTATGTCGTCCGTTTGAACAGCCGCACGGACGCGGCAGTCCAAGGCATTCTCGTCGGTCCGTCTTTTCGAAGCAATATTTTCCGTGCTTGCCATTTCGGGGCGAATAATTCGCCCCGGGTAACCAATAAAGTGATCTTCCGATATGAAGAAGCTGATTATTTCGCGAACAATAGCAAAAATCCTTACGGGCCGAAAGCCCAGTTGCATGTGTTGTACTGGTGCCAACCAATTGTCATGTACTATGGTCTGGATGATCTCCGGGATCACGTGTTCTGTCGTTCCGGTCAGGGCAACCCTGTCGGGATTAGTAGGGTTTGTTCCTGTATGTTCAACTACGCAATGGGCGGCAATTTCCCGAACTTCTCCCCCGAACAATCTTATTTTGATCAAAGGATCATCACGGTGAAAGTATACGTGTCCCTCAGAATGGTCAAGAGTGATGTTTCCGTCAGTTATCAGCGCGGCCTTAGGCCCGCCGATTGCTGTGAGATCCAAATCCATTTGTGACTGTTCGCGTGCCATCGCGGCTTCGCCGGTGGCATGTCGCAACACTGGGATAATAAGACGATGGTCCCGACAAATGCTAACCCGTCTTGAAACCGACTGAGAACTGCGAGTCGGTCTCGCTCTCAAATTGTTCTCCCAGGCGACTGGCAACCGCGCAGGAGGGTTGTTGTTTTCGGCGTTGTTCCCATTACCATCATCCAATGCGCCAAACCAAGGTCTACCAAGATTTACCGCGTCATCTATTGTAGCCAGTGTCGGAACAAAGAGATTGGTTCTAGTCATGTTGTTGAACCACCTCTCCCAGCCGATCCGAGGAGTGACTAAGTCATCCTCTTCGTCCGGCCAATGAAAGGCCTCCAGGGCTGGGCAGGATCTCGGGCGATCGTATTGGTCAAACTTAGTTTCCCACAATGTCGGCCACCAGGTATTAA